AAGGCAAGTCCAGGACAGATTTGAAGATTTAAAGTCTCTAGCTGCAGTGACAGTGGTGACCCAGCAGCTTACAGCCTGTCAGTGTAGATCTGCAGTGGAACTGGATATGCTGAAGGGATCCTCAACTGCTCCAGATTTTTCAGATTTTAAAAGATGCAGTCATTGCTGTTATCACACTATCTTTTAGGAAAACCAGAGTGGTCCAAAAGCAAACACAAGGGATAGTACTCATTTACTAAAAACATGACTCCTTTGTGGCCCCATATACATAAACATCTCCATTAACTGGTGAGAGAAACAAAGCCAGACTATTCTAAATGTGTGTGTGTGTGTGTGTGTGTGTGTGTGTGTGAGAGAGAGAGAGAGAGAGAGAGAGAGAGAGAGAGAAGAGAATGTGGTATGTTTTTTCATTTTATAATTGTGTTAGGAAAGGCTGACATCAACATTATACTGAGACACTCCAAGTCTGATGGAGATTCTGGAGTATTCATCAACTAAAATACTGAGGTACTGATTTCAAGACCTCAAATTTTGATGAGGGTGAGGAAGTAAATACCAGAAAGTAACTAGAGAGAGAAAGAGAAGTTGAGAGTTGACTCTAAACCACACTTTCATGAAGCTCCCTACCAGCAGATCAACTAAGAGGACACACTGAAAGGGATGGGAGCTGTGCTCAGTGGAAAACCTGAATCTGGAGTTCAGGTAACATGAGTAGAATCAAGGGTCTCTCTACAGTATAAGACTCACCATGCTCAGGTTGGACTCCATAGCAACCTGACATGACTGAGAAGGAAATGCTAGCCTTTTGAAAGGGGAGTCTCAAACAGTATTATATTAGCCTCATAGTTATTTATTCAATTATATTAATTGTCTATTATGACAGTTACTGTGCTAAACACATAAAATGCCCACAACAAATAAAAGTTGGAAAATCTTCTTTGTATTGTTTGCAAAAGAATTAAGACCCATGAAATACAGAGTAATTTGACACAAAGAATACAATATTCAAATTGTTATTTAAATATAAGAACAGATCATAGAAATTGGGTAACAACAGGTTGGAATTGTCTGAAAGTGTAGTGGCCTTGAACATAGGTCAATGGATGATATCGTTTGTAAACAAAAGAGGAAAATACATAGAAAATGAATGAACAGAGCCGTGAACCCGTGGAATGCCATCAAAATGCCTGGCTTCCTGTAACTAGAGCCTCAGAGAAGAAAGGGTTTCAGGGCAGTCAGAGAAGCCACAGTGTTAAAGAGACAATGGCTGATTTCATTTAGGAATGATATACACCCATGATGAGCAATCATCCTAAAAGAAGCTAACTATAAAGGAATACCTGAAATGCCAACGTTATGTCAGTCAGCACTGAAATTAAATGATAAAAGAAAACTGAAAGTATCTTTATAGAAAAATGACATAGCACATGCTGGAAACACTAAGTATGTGCCCACTCCTCCTATCAGAAGCCCCAGTAGGAGTGATGTATGTGGTTAAAAGACTTGTGTGACACCATTACACTGTGCTGATGCACAGGAGGGAGAGGTTGACCTAAAATGGAAGGGATGGACTACGCATGCCCAGTCAATGCCTCAGAGGTAGGAATGGTTCAGCCCAACACGAGAAGATGCTATTATATTGAAACTCACACATTTCTCAAGAAGGTCAACAACAACAACAAAAAATACATTACTGTGAAGTTTCATAATATTTCCACATTGGCTCAACAATGGCTTAAGAGGCTGTGCGGACAAATCTGTGAAAGGGTGAGTTGGGTTAGTTTTTATTTCACAAAGATCTGACTCAAGGATTAAAAGTCTGACTTGAGGCACCAAGTGAGAGAAAACAAGTCAATTTGTCTTTTTTTTTAATCCTGTACGTATACTATGAGACTAATTTGAAATTATAGCTGTTTGAACATTAGGAATAAGTAGAATGTTATGATGATATTTATTAATTGCTATAGGAGTCACAGCACCAGAAAATCAAACCACCAGGCAGCTCTGTCACGATACACAACACAATGCAACTGGAGCTGAAGTCAACGCCAAATGTCTAGGATGCAGAAAGGTAGGTTCCCTATAGTGTGCCCTGGCTCAGTGATTAAAATGCTTGGGTAAAAGTGAGGGTCTGAGCTCAAATCCCCAGAACCCGTGTGAAGTCAGATGCAGCAACACAGGCTTATGTCCCCTCATGTGCCCACAGTGAGCTGGAAGAGAGAGACAGAATGATGTGGAGCTGCAGGACTAGTTTCCTGATGTACACAACGGTGGTGATAACAGACATTGCCTTAGACATGGTAGGAGGTGAGGCCCCACATCCAAGCTTCCCTCCTGATATCCACATGAGCACCATGGAACACTTGTGCCTATGTGGACACACATGTATACACACACACACACACACACACACACACACACACACACACACCCTGGTTAACACAGTATATCAAGTTCAGAAGTACAGAGTTTTCACAATATCTTAATATTTTGCCCCAATGAACAAGCCCTCGGGCCAGGCACCTTCTGCAGTCACTGACAGCAGCAGTGCTGCCAATGGTAAAATTCGCATTTCCTTGTAATTTTGAACTCTGTAGCTGAATGGTTTATCCATCTAGAGGTGGTGGTAAGAGGCACATAATTGATCGTAGTAGCAGAACAGCTAATTCCTGAAAGGCAAAGCCGTCAAAGAGGAGATTTTCCCTGTGAGGAAGGGACTTGGCTTCACAGAACTTCTGAAGGACAGCTTCTAGAAAACTCTCAGCTGTCTCAAGATGCAACTAAACCTTGGATTTTTTTCAATGCAATAAATATTTCTTTAGAATTCATGGGTTGGCTCTTTACTGCTTACTGTGTTTTGTTTGTACAGCTGATACCAAAGACTAGGGAAAGACTGACGGTTAAGGTGGAAGAGAGCTGTGCACACGGAGTTATTTAGGAAAACCCACAGAAGAAAACAGTGAATGGCTTGGAAAAGCCAAGTGCATGTGGCCACTGGTCTTCCTACCACTGAAGGGAAGGAGTTGTTCCCACCCTTGACTGCTCAGGTTCACGCTCCTTATGTTGTGTCTCACGCAATGCTTCACAGTAACCGATCACTGCCAGGTACCCCTCTCATTCTCATTGCTTGGCTTCGTGCACTGTGCTACACACCTGTTCAGAGGTTCCTTTTAAGGGGAAACAAGAAGAAACTCCACATTTTCAAAGCCTTCCCTTGACCTTATTATCTTCCTAAGATTTTTTAAAATCGTATTTAGCTTTCAAAACAGATCATCAACAGCCACCTCATTAGCACACGTCTTGGAAATGACCCTTTGTATTCTGAAATGTCAGGAAGTTACTTTCGCCTCAGGTCCTGGTTTTCTATCCTGAACTACCTGATCTGAGAGAAGAAAGCCCTCAGGGAAGATAACCCCAAATAGTTATCCAGTACCAGCTGGTCAGCTCTGAAGGCATATATGTGCAAGTAACATTATACAGACGAAGGACTGAGCAGGTTGTAATTATAGTTAGGAATAAAAATGTGTGTGTGTGTGTGTGTGTGTGTGTGTGTGTGTGTGTGTGTGTGTTTTCAGCTGTGTATAACAAGAATTATAAAGAGGCAAGATTTTGTGGGAGAACAGGGTGGAGAAATGGGTGAGATGGGAGAGAAAAAGGGGAAGTGGAAATTGTGCATTATATTTTAATTTTAAAACATTTAAAATATTTTCTTAGAATGCAAAGATGTGTACACCCACTGTGTGTCATTCATTTGATTTCCATAATCAATGACAATCGGACCTAAAATTGAGTCTGCACTTTGCAAGACCAAAGTCTTATTCCTGTTTCTTCTTATTTGCACAAAGCTATGGAAGGAGTGAAGGTTTGAGCAATGGGGTTGTGATCTTAACTGTGCTGTGTTTTATATTTTTAATACAATTAGGAAGGAGAAGTGTGACATCAAAAATGCACATGAAGAGCAGTTTTTACTCTGTTTAGGAAAACCTAGAATACTCCAGAAGCTGCCCTGGGAGTTATGAAGAAATACTCTGGTTGGGTTTTTCTTTCCTTTCTTGCTTTTCCCCTTTCTTTTCTTTTTATTGAAAATAGATTCTTCTCTCATACAATATACATTGATGACAGTTTCCCCTCCCTCCACTCCCCCAGATTCACTTTCTCTGTTTCCCTTCAGGAAAGAGCATGCCTCTAAGAAACAACAACCAGACATAACTAAACAAGATACAATAAGAGAAGGCTAAAACTATCCTATGGAGACTGAACAAGGTAATCCAATCGGAGGAAAAGAACCTCAAGAGCAGGCAAAAGAGTCAGAGACACATCCACTCCCACTGCCAGGAGAAACTACAAACACCAAATCAATAACCACAACATAAATGTGGTGGACTTAGCACAGACCCGCACAGCTCTGTGCTTGCCCCTTCAACCCCCATGAGCCCATGTGAGCCCTGCCTTGTTGATTCTGTATGCCATGTTCTTCTGGCCTTTTCAGTTAAAAATTCCTGACATTATACACAAATTACTAGAAACAAATCATTTCATGACTTAAGCTATTAGAAAACCAACCCACATATCCTCTGGTCTAAAACAAACAAACTGAGTCTTCCCACAAACGACAGAGGCCATTGATAGAAGCTGTGCCTTGTTCTCCATAGGGTCCGTAGCAGCACAGATGGGTATTAGGGCCATTGTATACCAGAAACATTACCTGTGTTTGCCAGGTATGATAGCAGCAGCAAAATTATCTGCATGCCTTCTAGCCTGGGCCCCATCTGGTCTGTGTTGCTCTTTGGTATCACCAGTGGTTCATTTAGAATGTTCTGGAGTTCAGTGTAATGGAAATTTAGTAAAAAAAATGGTACATTATGTTTACTTTCAAGACAAGTTTTATAAAATATTCATCAATATTAAGAATAGGACAACTTATGGATAACTTAATAACTATATCAGCTGAAAGAACTCCCCATGACATGCCTACCCACAAACAGAAAATGAGAACCTACCGGATCTTCTGGGTTGTACTGAATGACATACTCTATCTGTCCATTTGGGCCATCATCGATGTCTGTAGCTCCATTGTCTCCTGAAAACCCCGTGAATATTGTGGTGCCAACTGGAGTGAGCTGAAGAGAGAAAGGAAAGAAACATGGTTTGTTCTCCTTTGATCATCTGTACAAATCTTCCAGCTTAAAAACCATCTCTATATTACACAGAAGACGAGAGACGTCAACTGCTCAAACCACAGACTCGTAGTACTAAGAATGAACAGGTAAATCTGTGTAGTCCTCATACAAGGGTCCTTAAGTGTGTGAAGTTTGCAGCATCAGCAAAGTGATCGGATAGAGAGACAGAAAGTTAAAGCACACTTGGACCATTTTGCTTCCATTAACATCTCCGCACCTGTTTTCTTTGGTAGAAACATTAATGCATTAAGTTATTCGCAAGCTAGAACTTTAATTGGGGTTGGCGATTTTATTTTAAAACAAAAAATCATTTCAGAGAGTCAAAAAATCCAGGTTGGTAATGCATGCAGAAGGTAGGTTAACAAATATCTAATCTGATGCCCAAATCTACTCCTCGAATATAAGCCTTCACTTATATTTCTCTGGCTATCTTAAAAACAAAACACTTAATAAAAAAGACCAAAGACACTGACTTTAAACTACTCAAAAGAGAAGTTTATTCGTTTATTTTTGCAACTTTAAAGTTACCACAGACATTAATGCTATTTATTTATGAATTTTCTAATTCCAATTCAGGATTTGGTGTTAATACATATCATCAATGACAAATTATATTTGGTCAAACTTATTTTTTTTGATTTTAGAAATTCAAGCAGAAATACCATTCTACAAGAAATTTTATGAGTTTGTATTTCTGGAAGGAAGAGTAGAAACAATAGCTTACTATATCAACAGAGAAGGGGGATATGATTGTTATATTGGTACATGGGAGATGTATCTAAATAACATCTTAAGTTAATGTTAGAAGGGGATGTAAGGCCTTGAAAACTAAATTGCGAGCTATAGCATAACAGAAGATTTGGCCATTTTATTCCCTTCACGCTACCGTCTCTGTTCATACTTATAGTAAGAAATCAATTGATCTCCAGCTTGGGAAATGTTTACAGTTTGGGTTTCTCAGTATGGAGGAGGGCAGGCTTGGGCACAGCCATGAAATCACAGTGCTTGGACTTAGCTCCCAAGATCCAAATGAGGATCAGAAGGAGGGAGAACATGAGCAAGGAAGTCAGGACCACGAGGGGTGTGTCCACCCACTGAGACGGTGGGACTGATCTAATTGGAGCTCACCAAGGCCAGCTGGACTGGGAGTGATGGAGCATGTGATCTAACTGGACTCTCTGAATGTGGCTGGCAATGAAGGCTGACTGAAAAGCCAAGGACAATGGCACTGGGTTTTGAGTCTACTGCATGAACTGACTTTGTGGGAGCCTGGTTTGTTTGGATGCTCACCTTTATAGACCTGGATGGAGTGGGGAGAACCTTGGACTTCCCACAGGGTGGGGAACCCTGACTGCTCTTAGGACTAGAGAGGGAGGGGAAGTTGGGAAGGAGGAGGGAAAAAGGAGATGGGAAGGAGGTAGAAATTTTTAATAAATAAATAAATAAATAAATAAATCACAGTGCTCAGCATTGTGCCAACGAGTGAGCTTGGCTTCATTCCCTGATTGTGTGTTTATAGCAAACATCTTAATGCAGATGGCTCCTGCTCATTTTTACTATTCTAGCACACTAGTGTGAACACGTGTGCATCCACACATGTTGGAGTTCCATTCCCCATGATCTGCTGATGACAGACCTGTCCAACAAAGGTTTGAAGATGATGGAAGAACATTATCTGGGAATAATATGTGGAGGCTCTCGGTGACCGTGTGCCAATTAAAATCTGCACCAAATGCAAATGAATAGAATGAGATGGGGAGAGACAAAATTTATAAAAATTAATAACTCTAGGGCTAAGAAGATGACTCGATGGTTAATTAGCTTGCCTTTCAAGCAAGAGGACCAGGCCTTGGATACTCACAGCCCAGGCAAACACTCTGCAGGTGTTGTAGCAGCCTGATTCCAGTCTCAGCAGGCAAAGGAGGGGATCCCAATAACAAACTGACTAAAGAAATATTCTAGGTGATCTTAGGGTAAGATTGAAAGAGTCTGCCTCACAGACTAGGTAATTTCCAGATTTAGTTGAGGGAGTCTGCCACAAAGAATAAGTAGAGAACTATCCAAGAAGATTGTGGACTCTAGCTTCAGGTTTCCACAGGCACATTCCCTTGTATCCATGTGCATGTACACACACACACACACACACACACACACACACACACAGAAACACGTACGCGTGTGCGCGCGCACACACACATACATACCATGTTCATGCACATGAAAAGAAGAAGACAAAATAAATGTAAAAATAGTAGACTTCAACATGTAACAATATTTCTTGGTGTTTGTTCCCACCAGAAATAGCTTTTATCTTTGTACTTGCATGGCTGTATACATGTGGCCTATAGGTGTGAATATACAAGCAAATACCCAAGATGTATGTCTGTGCTAGAAACATGCTCGTAAGCTTGCCTGTGCACATGTGCCACATAGATATCAGTGTATCAGCATTCATGTGAAAGCATATCTTCATGTGAGCATTTCTTACTGATGTGCAATCGATGCTACATTATAAATTCCTGAGTATCCTGTGGGTGCGGGACCCCCAAGACTGCCTGCTGTTGCTGGACGTAGTGGTGCATGTCCTTAATCGCAGCACTGGGGAAGCAGAGGCAGGTGGATCTCTGTGAGTTTGAGGCCAGCCTGGTCTATGGAGCTAGTTTTAGAACAGTTAAGGCTACACAGAGAAACCCTGCCTCCAACAACAAACAAAACCAAACAGCAACAAAGACTGTCTTCTCTTTTGTAGCCTATACTGTGTGGTATTCATTTTGGGGCACATCTGCTACACAAATAAGTAGGTTCTATATCTTTTATATTTCAATATGCTACATTTAAATTTGGTTTTTGAAGAGCCCTATATGCAATAGGACCAGCCTAGGAAATGCCTGAGGGTGCCATTTACTTATGCAATTTGTGTCTTTCCTCACAAATCATTTACACAGCTATCTGAAGGTTCATAAACTATGTAGATTAATTGAAGATAAAAAGGGCAGAAAATCACTACCCAGAAAGTAAAATAGTTTATGAAGTTTTGATGATGAAAAAGTCCCTGGCATAAATAAATGATAAACATCTCAGGAGACAGGCTAGTTTAGGCTGGTTTAAATGTTATGTACTTGGTACCTGTGTACAAAACTTGGCTAGGAGTGAATCAATAGGAACAATTTTCTTAATATATAAGTTATTTATTTAATTAAAAAGATCATTGTTTTCATTTTCTATGGCTGATGGGAGACTTTGTTTTGATTTGTAATGTTATTTTTCTAAAAATTAAGCTATCACCTTATTTAATGAACACTAAGAAGCATTAGAATGGAAATATATTCCTAGCTATTCTGTTTATTGTGTAGATACCATATGACACATATCTCCTTTTGATGACTGAATTTTGATTAAGAGTCTCAAAGAGAATATTTACCTTTACTAATCTTACTTGATTTCCCCCAGAGTGCCATGGTTGTTTGATTTATAGTTTCAGACAGTTGCTATTTTATTATATGTGAATCTTAAGTTGCATAAAATTACAAAGGATGAAGAATTAATGAATAATAACTTTGGAGCCCTGAACAATATAGGATCAATCTGTAAGTCTCTCCTTAAACACTTTTATCTGGCTAGCCAATATAAAATCTTCCATACCCACTTCTCTATAGAGAAATTTAATATGAGCTGGGCAGTGGTGCCACATGCCTATAACCCCAGTACTTTGGAGACAGAGACAGGAGAGGCTCTGTGAGTTCAAGGCCTGCCTGGTCTACAGAGCAAATTCCAGGACAGACCCAAAGCTACAGAGAAACCCTGTCTTAGAAAACAAACCATACAAAAAGTTTGAATTTGTAATTTCGATTCTCTAACATAGTAACAACACAAGCCCTGTCTGAATGAAGCTGATGTTGCATCCACATTTTCCCTGTGAGTCTCATTCTGTCTCCTTTCGCTTGGGGACAGTGGGAAGCGTATGACAACAGTTAACAGACATTTTAAACACCAAAACCACGAACAAATCATCAAGAAATCCCAGCCACTAGACCGCCAGGGACATACGTAGAGCTCAATAAAAATCAATTTTAAAAAAAAGAAAGAAAAAAAAAACAAGAAATGTGTAAAAAAGTCACACTCAGTGAACTGTAAAGACAATTGCATGTAGTGTGAGAGGAAATATAAGATGGCAGAGACCAGGGCTGAAGAACCCTGTGCATGCATGAGTCCTTTCCTGGGGTAGCATCTTCCCTTTTCTGCCCCTCCCTCAGCACACCACCAGCTGTAAATGCACAAGTCAAGTTCCAGTGAGAATTGTTTGCCTGATGGGTTTCTCCTGCTGTGAAGAGACACCATAACCAAAAAGCAAGTTGGGGAGGAAGGGGTTTATTTGACTTATACATTAGCATTGCTGTTTATCAGTGAAGGAAGTTAGCGAAGGAATTCAAACAGGGTAGGACCCCTGAACTAGGAGCTGATGCAGAAACCATGGAGGGGGTACTGCTCACTGGTTTTCTTCTTGTGGCTTGCTCAGCCGGGTTTATTATAGAACCCAGAACCACCAGCCCAGGGATGTTACCACCCACCATGAGCTGGGTCCTTTTTTATTGCTCACTAAACGAGAAAATTTACGGATAGATCTCATGGGGGCATTTCCTCACCTGAGGCTCCTTCCTCTCTGATGACTCTAGCTTGTTTCAAATGACACACAAAACCAACCAATATGATGTCTTTTATCTGGAAACTCTATTTTTTCCTTTGGCACCCCTTTCCCTCCAGCCACTGTGATCTGCAAACTCAGAAGCCTAGTTCCAGACAAGGACTCCATGATTATTTTTTATTCCTGGATAAACTTTGTTGGCTACGTTGATCTCTGTATTCCCCATTTTTCCCCATCTTCCATGTTTTCCCTGCCTGTGACCATCTCCACAGAGGCCCAGCTCCAGTTCAGTGGTATC